CCTCAGGACCAATAATGAGAGCAGCAATACCAGGAGGGTGGGGGAAAGTGGGGGGAGATAGGGAAAACTGATCACAATGATCTACATATAACCCCGTCCCAGGGGGATGGACAACAGAAAAGTGGGTGAAGGGAGACAACAGTCAGTGTAAGTCATGAAAAAATAATAATTTATAAATTATTAAGGGTTCAAGAGGTAGGGAGGTAAAAATAAATGAGTTAATACCAAGGGCTCAAGTAGAAAGAAAATGTTTAAAAAATTATGATGGCAATAAATGTACAAATGTGCTTGACACATGGATATATGTATGGCTTGTGATAAGAGCTGTTAAGAGCCCCCCAGTAAAATGATTTAAAAAACAGTCTAACATTTGAGTCACAAAAGTGTGTGTTGTTGTTAGGGGCCATCAAGTTGGTTCTGATACATGGTGGCTCTATGCACTACAGAACAAAACACTGCCCGATCCAGTGCCGTCTTCACAATTGCTCATATGCTTGGGCCCACTGTTGCAGCCATTGTGTCCATCCATCTCGTTTAGGGCCTTCCCCTCCTTAGGTGCCCCTCTACTTTACCAAACATGATGTCTTTCTCCAGGGGCTGGTCTCTCCTAGCAACATGTCCAAAGTATGTAACAAGAAGTCTTGCCATCCTTGCCTCTCAGGAGCACTCTGGTCTTACTTCTTCCAACACTGTCCTTTTAGCAGTCCATGGTACTTTCAATATTTTTCTTCATAATTCAGATGCATCCATTTTTCTTCAGTCTTCTTTATTCAATATACAATTTTCTTCTTTTTTTTTAAATTCTTCTCCCAAACCATTTTATTGGGAGCTCTTAATGATTTCATACCTTTCCATAGTTCAATCATATTAAGCAGTATTATAAAATTGCTACTACAATCAGTTTTTAAATATTTTCTTCCTTCTTGGACTCCTTGAGATAAGCTCCCCTTTATCACCCATTCCCACGGTAATGCCTCCCCCCAAACCCTTATTCTACTTGTTGTCTCTGTAGGTTCATCAATCGTGGGTTTCTTATACATACGAGGCATACCATGGCTTGGGTCAGGTGCACCTCAGTCTTCAAAGTAATATCCTTGCTCTTCAACATTCCAAAGAGGCCTTTTCAGGAGATTTGCCTAATGCAATTTGTCTTTTGGTCTCTTAAGTGCTGCTTACATGGGCATTGATTGTGAATCCAAGCAAGACAAAATGCTTGACAACTTCTATCTTTTCTACATCTTTCATGATGATATTGGTCCAGTTGTGAGGTCTTTGGTCATTTTTACATTGAGATGTATTCCACACCGAAGGCTACAATTCTTGATCTTCATCAGCAGATACCAAAAATTCTTTTCACTTTCAGCAAGCAAAGTTGTGTCAACCCTGCTGCTGCATTCTTTTTTTTCATATTAGCCAGCTTCTACGATGATTAGCTCAGCATACAGACTGAGGAAGTATGGTGAGAGGATGCAATCTTGATGCTCACCTTTCCTTCTTTTAAACCATACAGTCGTCCTTGTCCTGTGTACACAACTGCCTCTTGGCCCCTGCACAGGCTCCACACGAGCACAGTGACGTGTTCTGAATTCCTATTCTTCTCAAGGTTATCCATCATTTGGTATGATCCACACAAGCAAATGTATGCTGGCCAGTGTTATTTCTCTGTCTCAAAATCTCTACCACAGGTCATGTTTGAAATCTGGTTGTTTCTGACAAGCCTGACTTGGCCAAGCCCATAACAAATAGAAGACCTTTATGTAGTTGTCGACAGAGTGTTGCTGCTCTCACTTCAAAACCACCCATATGAAATAACTCGTTTTTCTCAAAGACCATTTTCAAGAAGCATTTACGCTTCTTTTTCTTAAAAGTGATAGGCAAAGAAGAAGAATATTACCTTTTTCAATATAATTGATAGAGAAGTAAATTATTGCCTGAATCAAATATATAGATGTATGCAAATACACACAAAATGCTCAGACAGCAAACTTAAACCCAGTAAACCACTAATAGTAAAGCCGTCTAATTTAACTTACCTGCATCCATATCAGCTGCCAAGATTTCTGTTTCTTCTGTAATAAAGCAAAAACTTCCAATGTTCAAAGGAGAATTAAACCATTAAAATAATTTAAACTTTGATAACTTTGTTCTTTCTTTGAAAAAGAGTGTATAAGATGCCAAAGAATGTCTTTCGTTTTCTTTCTCCTAGTAAGCTAGTGAGAAGACTCAAGACGATGGAACATTTGGAAACGAGTGCTCGCACAACCTGGAAGAGTGCTGGTATAAGGGAGTGGAGATGGTTACAGTGCTTCAGTTTTCTGCAATTAAACCAAAAACCAAACTCACTGCCATTGAGTTGATTGTGACTCATCACAACTCTATACAACAGAATAGAACTTCCACAGTATGTTTCTGAGATTAAATCACTATGGTTTCAAAAGGCTGACCATGTAGTTTGCAACCCAATGCATAACCACTACAGCAAAATGTACAGGTCCAGAGAAGGGGAGTCTGCATCCACAAGGTCTTGGCATCCCTTGGTGTTACACCACTAAGCATTTCACTACTAAATGCTGGCAGTTTGTGCCTACCCAAAGGATCCCTGGAAGAAAGATGTCCTTCTAACAGATCACAGCCTTTAAAACTTGAAAGAGCTCAGTTCTATTCTGCCGCCAGAGTGGGGCGTCATACTCGGTTGAAAGGGATCTGTCCTGTTGGGTGGGAACAAAGGCCGAGGAGCTTGGCAGGGTGGGCCCATCTCCTGTGAGTTGGATTTTGACCCGAGTTCTGGGAGTACTGGGCTGCTTACGGGCTGGGCTGCCAACTGCAGATTGATAGTTTGAACCCACCAGCCACTCCATGCGAGAGAGAGAGAGAGAGAGAGAGAGAGAGAGAGAGAGAGAGAGAGATATGGAAATCTGCTTCCTTAAATGTTACAGCCTTGGGCATGTTAATAGGCAGTTCTACTCTGCCCCATAGGGACACAATGCACCAGAATCCACTTGACAGCCATGGGTATGGGTAGAAATGGGTGGAAGTGGCCCACTGAGACATGGCTGCCAACCACATTCAAATGAGCGGTATCAGCCACCAGCTTTGAGTGTGGCCTTGCTGCCTGCTTCCTGTTCCAGGCAGAATCCACTGCACAAGAGATTTGGATGCTATGCAACACCTATGCTGTCCTTTGCTTCCATCAGCTGTGACTGAAATGCTTTCAACCAGTTCGAAGCCCATCTTCAACACATGGGATATTCGTGAGTTCAAACTGACACTACAGAAACTATGTTGGGTTTTTGGTTTTGTTTTTACATAAGATAAGGAGCAGTCACCAACCCTGACCAAGTGAATTTTGAACTGACATTAAAAAGTCTCTTCTCCTTCAAACATAATAAGGCCCAATACAGAAAAAGGGTATTTCATTTGTTTCAGTATTAGGTATGGTCAGAAATATGCATCTGTGATACAGAAGTCAAAGGGGAGTAGGGGAGATTCTCTTTGCTACCCTAAACTTCTCCTTGAAGTTATTTTACAGGACAGTTCCATCTTCACTGTGTTGCCTTCTAACATTTCAGTGGGCAGAATCATAATTCCATAAGCCTTCAGCTGTGCACTGAAAGGTCAGTGGTTAGAGCCCATCAGCCACTATGTGGAAGAAAGATGAGGCCGCCTGCTTCCGTAAAGATTTATAGTCTCAGAAACCCTACAGAGCCATTCTACTCTATTCTATGGAGTCCTGTGAGTCCCAATAGATTTGATGGCAGCGGGCTTTTGCTTTTCTTTGTTTGGGGAATCAGAAGGCTGATGCCCACCCACATGCTGTTCTACCTTGGATGAAGATGTGGTTGTGAAAGGGTAATGCCATTTGCTGCTGCAGCAATCCTGTGTTTTGTCCATGAATTTCCCATGTGCCCTTGGAGAGAGGCATCGTGCACTTGGTATGCCATATACCTAGTTTGTTTTCCGGGGGCCAAGAGATTCTGTTCAGAAGCAGTCAGAAAAGCCCCTTCAAGAATCAAGGAGAAGACTTAAGCATTTTCATTAAATGCCCAGCAAGGAGGATGGAGCAAGTCTAGTAGAGCCAGGGTGGAGTGCATGTCAGAAGAGCTGAACAAAGAGTCAAAGAGACAAACCCTAAGAAAAGCAAGACTTTGGGGACAATCAGGTCAAGGTTTTCTATTCAAGAAAGCTTAACATGGGTGAAGTGACTAACTATGTGACAGAATAGAAAAGTGGGTTTGCAGTACCTCAAACCACAATACCTAAAACTGTAAGAGGAACTCTTATAAATCACCAAGAAAGGAGACTGCCACTCCACTACGAAGCTGGGTCAAGGGTGTGAAGTGGCAAAGGGGTAGAGGCGAAAAAGAAAGTGGAAACTGGGAATCAAAAACTGGCATGCACGTGAAAAAAACAACAACATCGAAATCACTGATTCATAGGGAAATATGACTGAAGAAGCAATGCATGTTTGTTACGTTTCACTCAGAGACTAGCAAAACTGGGCAGCAGGATAATGGCAATTGCTGATAGGGAGCCCGCAGGAATTGGTGCCGAAACATTCAGGCACTCCCTGGACAAATTAAGCACGAGCAAACTCTAAGTTGCAATTCCACCCCCCAGTTCTTCCACACAACCCTGCAGTGTGACTGTGGGGCTGCAGTCATTCTGGAAAGGCAGAGGATAAATGGTGAAAAGCGAACACCGTGGGGTCTTTTTACACAGATCTGAACAACTTAATGCTGTGCGAAAAGAACAGAAAACAGCCGAATGTTTGAAAACACATCCTTGGCTTTTCATTCCTTTTGTTCCACGCATTTTTTGAGGCACCCTCATACCTAGAACACTATACAATGTGGATGAAACATATATGCACCAAGAAAACCAAACCCACTGGATAAGAGTGCATGTAAATAAAAAGATGTAAGCATTAACATGAAAATCTACGAAAACGTTTGCCTGTGGGGAGACGGGTCTAGGAACAAGGGGGAAAGGGAGGTTGAAGAGTGAAACAAGAGAGGGGCCTGGTCTGGACCCATGGCGATCATGTTCAGTGAAATGGGGACCGTGGTTGACACATCCCCCTGCATCTGAGGTCCAAAGCTAGGGCGGAAGGAAAGGAAAGAGGGAAAGAGGGAAGGAAGGAATAAATGAAAAGAGGCACGGAAGGCAGAAAAGGCCGGTGGCTGGAAGAAAGGAAGGACAAATGGAGGGGGAGAGGAACCACAAAAGTGGTGGCATGGGGCGGGCGGCGGAGGTGGGGGGGTGCGGAGGAGGGGGTGCCCAGCAACTTTGGTGGGCACAATGATGAGAAGAAGGAGGGACACGGAGAAGCTGGTAACCATGGGTATTGAGAGCAAGGAGTGTCCTCAACCTGAAAGCCCCAAGAAACCCTCAGAAACCCTGGGGAGGGCCATGAACTTGTGGATGGAGGGCTTGAGTCGTTTTATATGCATATTCAAAAGGTAACCCCAAAGGGCTAGAGGATTTGGATACATGTTGCTGACATAGGCAAATCGAAAAATAGCTCTCTGAAAAGAAGGTTCTTTCCTCTGGTGGTAATTTCTTCGGGAGCTGCCGTGGAGGATAAAATAAAGAGGAGAGGAGAGGAGCACTGGGTAAAGGTGCGTCATTCAGAGGAGAGTATTTGGTCTGCAGACAGTGGGCAGTGGGGTGGGGTGGGGTGGGGTGGGGTAGGTGGGGAGTGTGAGAATGGGAGTTTGTCACATTGTGGGGAAAAAATATCCTGTGTCTAAAAGCAGGTTAAAGGCAAGCTACTCATAGTACACAGTCACATGGCCTGAGGTTCATATTTCCAGTAACTTTTAAGAGGACAGTAGTACCTTAGTCTTGTTTCAGTTCTGTAATATCCACAGAATTTAATAAAAGTTTTACCTTGTGCCTCAGGGAGAAGGCCTAAAGAAAAACAAACAAAAATTTACTTAAGCAAGTCTTTTAGTTTTATTTGAGCAGCAAGAAAAGGTGCACAGTTCTATACATATATTACAAAAGCAGCTAAGGAGCTTCAGTCTTGCTTTCAATACTGAGATATGAAATTTTTATTATAAAAATAGATTTACCTCGAGTTTCAAAATGTCCAGTCCCTAAAAACAAAGCAGGGGGGAAAAAGTTCACTATAGCAAAGAATTTTCACTTGAATAAAATTTACACAAATCATTTTTTCCTGTCTTTTATTTTATGAAGGAAACTGAGTAACTTGCCTATAGGATATTCCTTATTCTGGGTTTAATTAATTTGTTCTTTGAAATGTTAATACATTCCTCTGTCCCACAAATTTTCTGTAAGCTAACCAAACTCTTCTAGACCCTAGAGACTTAATTGGATGCAAGATTAGATATTTCAGGTGCCTGAGTGAGGATACTGGTGACTGGACAGGACCCTGGTGGCAAGTGCTCTGCAGCTGACCGAAAGACTGGTGTTCAAATACTGTCCACTCCAGAGAAGGATGTGGCAGTTTGGTTCTCTACAGATTTACAGCCTTGGGACTTCTGCTCTGTTTTATTGGGTCACTAGGAGTCAAAATCAGCTTGATGGCAGTGAGGTTTTGGGTTAAATGACAGGATGATTTTTAGGAGCCCTGATGGTGTAGTGGGTATATATTGGGCTACCAACTTCAAGGTCAGCAGTTTGAAACCACCAGCCACTCTGAGAAAGACTAGACTTACAGTCTCGGCAACTCACAGGGACATTTCTACTCTGTCCTAGAGGGTCACTATGAATCGGCATCAACTCAATGAGGGTTTTTTTTATACAATGATGTTTTTATCATTAGGGATGTATACACCTCTAGGTGTAGTGACATGATGTCTGAAATTTGCTTTCAATTGTTCCAAAAAGCAAATTTAAAAAGCAAGCAAGCTGGAAGAGAGCTAACGAAGAGTGTCAAACGTGTGGACCATGGTTTAAACTTTAAGATGAAAATACAAATCTATTTCTATGGCTCTGGGAACATTTTAAAAGTTAGCTCCAAAATTAATAAATGTTTACTGAATATGAGGAGATGCACCTTCCAGATTCCCTCCAACTTCCATCCAGCAGTACTGCCCCACGCCCTCCTACGGTCACGCAGAATTACCCTTCACCTACGATGCTCAGAGTTCTTGGATCGAATAATGGAAAAAAGCAACCAAAACACTTGGAGTTACCTTCGCAGCCAATTTCGTCTTCTCCTGTGATGCAGTCCACCTCCCCATTGCATCTATACTCTTTTGGAATACAAACACCTGACTTACAAAAGAAACTTTCCCCTTGGCATGCTGTGAAAACAGAAAATAGCGGTTGTTGTCTTTCCTTCTAACGCACTGAGATGGAATCTTACAACACGTGGCACTGGTTTATATTGTCCATCGGGGAAACAGAATGCACGTGGGGGCTAAGAGCTGCACTGGAGTCTACCTTTACAGCACAGCTCGTCGCTCTGGTCCCCACAGTCGTTGAGGCCGTCGCAGGCCTTCCTCTGAGCAATGTGTTTCCCGTTCACACAGGGAAAGGAGTCTTCTGGGGGAGAATCTGTAAGGCAGAAGCGATCTTTGCAAAACTTATTTACAAAGTTGTAGCATGATGCCCATGACACATTTTTGGAATAACGGGGTCATTAAGATAAAGTCAGGCCTCAAACAAAAATGATGTAAATGTGTTGGTGGTCTCAACATGGTAAAGAGCCCTGGTGGCCTAGCAGTTAAAGCCCTGGGCTCCTACCTGAAAGGATGGTCGTTTGAACCCACCAGTCACTTACCAGGAGAAAGATGTTGGTTTGCTTCTGTCAAGATGAAAACCTCATAAAACCCAGTGGGGTAGCTCTACTTTATCCTGCAGGGTCGTTCTGAGCCAGAACCGACTCGACTGCAACGTGGCTACTTTGGTTTGTCCGCGCAGTGTGTCTGGCTAACAAGCAAACTAAAAGGCAAAGCTGGCAGATGGAGGCCTTTGTGTTGTGCCTCAAAGTCAGAATTTATTGTGGAACTCTGAACTTGAGGAGACAGTGGGTTCCTGAATCGGGAGCACCTCTTCTTCCATGTTACTACACCAGTACCCCATTGTGGAAAACACGTGTAAAGAAACAGTCATACTTTTTACTACTTTGAAATGTAGAATTCAGTGACATTCATCATGTGTGCAACCATCACAACTATCCATTTTCAAAGGTTTCTCATTCCCCTAAACAGAAGAGAGAGCCCTAATGCACTTGGACACTTGTGGTTGAAGGTCAGGGATTGCAGCCTTCAGTATGGACCACTCAGCATACAGAAAACCAAAAGCCTCACAACTGGACCAATAGGTAATATCAGACATAATAAATGGAGAAAAGACTGACATTGTCAAGCATTTTATCTTGTTTGGTACATTGTTTATCGATGTTCACAGAAGCTGATGTCAAGAAATCAAATGACACATTGCATTGGGTAAATTTGCTGCACAAGAACTCTTTAATGCATGGAAGTGCAAGGATGTCACTTTGAAGACTAAGGTGCCCCTGACCCAAGCCATGGTATTTTCAGTCCCTTCTTATGCATGTGAAAGTTGAACACCGAAAAAGGAAGACCTACAAAGAATGGGTGTGTTTAAATTATGGTGCTGGAGAAAGAAAATAAATGTCTAGAAAATAATGATGGCAACATATGTACAAATGTGTTTGATACAACTGATGTATCGATCGTTACAAGAGCTGTCAGAGCCCTCAATAAAAGTTTTTTAAAAGTTACGGTACTGGGGAAGAATATTGAAAGTACCATGGACTGCCAAAAGAATAAGCAAATCTGTCTTGGAGGAAGTATAGCCAGAGTGCTCCTTAGAACTGAGGATGGGAAGGCTGTGTCAAAAGTCCTTTTGACACAGTATCTGGAGCGACCAGGCTCTGGAAAAGGACATCATGCTCGGTAAATTGGAAGGACAGTGAAAAAGAGGAAGACTCCATGAGATGGATGGAGCTCAAACATAAGAACAATTGTGCGGACGGTGAAGGACTGGGCGTTGTTGCGTTGTGTTGTACATAGGGTCAAAGTGAGTTGGAACGGACAGGATGGCAACTAACATCAACAAAACAGAAACTCAGGACCCTAAGTAATAACTCCCCATTTCCTGGTCACCAAAATGAACTTTTGTCTCCATACATTCTGCATTTGCTATTCCATTTCATATAGTAAGTGGGGTCTTACAGTATTCCTCCTTTTGTGTCTGACTTATTTCACACAGCATAATGTTCACCCATATTGAAACATGTATCAGAACTTAAGACTATGGTTGAATGTCGTTGTTACGTGCCATTGAGTCCGTTCCGACTCATAGCAACCCTATGTCAGTCAGAAGTCAAGGCTGCCAGACCCTGTGCTAGCCTAATTGTTCTTATGCTGAAGGCCACTGTTGCAGCCATTGTGCCACGGTGTCATGCCCTCTCATTGAGGGCCTTCCTCTTTTTCACTGAACCTCTACTTTACCAACCATGACATCCTTCTCCAGGGACTGTGCCTTCCTGATTCCACGTCCAAGTACGCGAGACTAAGCCTCGCCTTCCTTGCTTATAAAGAGCATCCTGGCTGTACTGCCGCCAAGACTGATTCGGTTGTTCTTCTGGCAGTCCGTGGTACTTTCAATATGGTTCACCAACACCATAATTCAAACACAACATGGTCTTCCTTAGTTATTGTCTAGCTTTCACATGCCGATGAGGTGATTGGAAATACCACAGCTGGAGCCAGGGATACCTTAGTCCTCTTAGTGGCCTCTTTGCTCTTTAGCACTTCAAATCAATCTTGTGCAGCAGATTTTTCCAATCCATGATGTTATATGATTTTTGACTGCTGCCTCCATATTGTGGATCCAATCCAATAAAACGAAACTTTTAACTACTTTAATATTTTCTCCATTTAGCTTGCTGTTGTTTATCGGTCCAGTTGTTAGGATTTTTATTTTTTAATTTTTTATATTGCGATGTTATCCATACTCAAGGCTGCAGTCTTTCATCTTCATCACTAAGTGCTTCAAGTTCCTGCAATTTCAGCAAGCAAGACTGCGTCATCGACACAGTGCAAGCTGCTCAGGTGCCTTCCTCCAGTCCTGATGCTTCATGTAGTCTCGTTTCTCAGATCATTTGCTCAGAGTGACTGAATAAAGATCCTCAAAGGATGCAGCCCTGGCACACACTATTCCCCTTGTTCGAGTCCAACTGCTGTCTCTTGGGCTGTTTGAACTATGACCGCTTGGTCTACATACTGGTCTCGATGAGCACAATGAAATGTTCTGTAATCTCATTCTTTGCAATTTTGTCCACTGCTTGTTAGGATGCACACTGTCGAATATCTTTGTATAGTAAAACAAAAACAAAAAAAACCCCACAGGTAAAATTCTCTGCTTTGCTCCCATCTGACATCAGCAATTATATTCCTTGTTCCAGGTCCACTTGAAACCATTTAAAATTATCTTCAGCAAAGTTTACTTGCATGTGATATGAAAGATATTGCTTGATGATTCCACATTCTGTTGTGTCACCTTTCTGAAGAATAGGCACAAACATAGATGTATATCTCTATATATCGCCGTTTGTTTATCTATTCTGCAGTTCATGGACATATGCTTGTGTCTACCTTTTGATTATTGGGAATAGTGCTGCAAGGAACACTGGTATACAAATATCTGTTTGAGTTCCTGCTTTAAATTCTTTTGAGTACTCTACCCAGAAGTAGAATTGCTGGTCATGTGGTCATTCTCCATTTAACTTGTTGATGAGTTGACATTGCTTCCCCCAGTTGCTGTACCTTTTTATGCTCCTTCCAGCAAAGGATGAAGGCTCAATTTCTCTATACCCTCCTCTACACTTGCTATTTTCTACTTTCCCAACTGATAATAGTATACTATAGGGTTGATACCAGTCAGAAGGGACTCAAGGGCAGTGGGTTGTTGTTTTTGAATGGAGATAAAGTGGTATGTCATTGTGGTTTCAATTTGCATCTCCCTAAGGATTAATTAAGAGAAAGAGGAGGCTTTCTACTCCTGTAAAGTTACAGTCCCAGAAACTCACAGGGGAAGTTCTACCCTGTTGTAATGGGTCTCCATGAGTCAAAATTAATTCTATGGCAGTCAGTTTAGTTTTGATAATGTTTAATTACATTGAACATCTTTTTTTGTATGATTTAATCCCTGTGTTCACTTTTAAATTGTTTATTTTCTTATTTTTGAGTTGCAAGAGTTCTTTACATATTCACATCTATGCATATATATGTATAATGACTATTAAACCCTTTGGGGATATACACACCATTCAGTGGGCTGTCTCTTCGCTATTTATGTCTTGATGATGCTGTTTTTCAGCATTGAAAAAGGAATGATTGGCTTTAACATTTGTCATCACATACATAGCTAAATTATTCCAGTGCTGTGGTAATTGGATGATTTTATGTCAACTGGGCACGCATGGCTAGTGGGTGGAGTCCAACCTGTCGATCAAATGTAGTATCTTGATGACACCTCTTTGGAGGTGTGGCTTATTGTATAAGAATGGAGGACTCTGGGAACTGCCTCGCTCTGCTCCTCCTCATTGGGACTTTCCTGGGACTCTGTGTCTGCCTCCAGGTATGGGCCCATGTAGATCACCAGAACTTGAGAGCTGTCAGTGCCTTGCCAAGCTTCTACTGACCTTGGATCCAGGAGACTCCACACCAACTGGCCTGTGATCTCCCTGCTTCCTGCTTCACCTTTCTGGGTCATCAGCCTGTAACTCCAAGAGTCTGAAGAGGGCCCGGCTAGCATTGGATCTATTGTCTTGAGTTGGATTGGGATGGAATGCCTTGTTGATCTAGAGTTGCTTCTTAATGCAAAGTTCTTTCTTATACATATAAGAGTATGAGCACTGATATATGAGCATACATATGGAGTGTTTCTCTGGACAACCTGGCCTAACACAAAGGCTCAAATGGAGAGACAAGTGAGGCCTTAACATGGTTACTTAAGCACTTTAAAGGTATGTGTCTAATCTGGGTCACTCTGAGGAGATTCAGAGGTTTCTTCTGATGCTCAATTGACTTGACACCAATTCAGGTGTTCAAGGAAGTCAAGGGGAGTCAGGCAGCACTGCTTCTCATTTAAAAATCTGGAAATAGGTAATGTTTGATGGAAAAAGGCACAAATATAGAGAGAGCACCAATTTAGTCTCTTAACATAGATAGAAGCCCTAGCATGGCTGCTGTGACTGGCAATGGTCAATCATTCATTTGCTTACTATTGGCTTGATGTGAGATCAACAACTTTGAAGGAAAAGCAAACACCAGGCAAATACTCCACCCACCTGTGGCGCGCTCTGTGTAACACACTATGCCAGCAAAACTCTGGCCCTTGGTAGTTCTGCTCTTAGTAAAAGTGCATTCAGCCAAACTGGTCTCTAATCCTCGACAATGCACCTGCAGGCAGTCAGTGGCATTTATGTCTCCGAAGCTTCTGTGACTCTCCAGAGCACCACTGGCAAAAAGAATAAATGAAATATGAGGTTGGAATACGTAATACTTTGCATTAGATGAGAGTAATTGCCCCTCATTTTCTATATATAAGCTACAAATTGTTCAAGATACTTATATTCTCTGAGTCTCAATCTTTTTTCAAAAGGGATCTAGCCACCTCACTGGCTTTTACGAGATGACCTGGGATTGACTTTGTGCAAGGGGGTCAGCCCTTCTTTTGTCAGGGAGCATCGCTTCATCCTCATTCTTGTGTGTTAGCTCAGCTCTTGCATCCTCCCGCCCCTCCCCTTTGGAAGCGTCTCTCTTCACCCTTGCTGTGAAACTTCCTGGGATCTGAAAGGTTATAGTGGTTTAATGTTAGCAAGATCATTTTGCTTTTACACAAAGCTACATTCTCCAAGCTCATGGAAGCAGGGGTCAAGAGATCAAAAGATAAATTGCATTAGGTAAATTTGCTGCACAAGACCTCTCTAGAGTATTGAAAAGCAAGGATGTTAATTTGAGGACCAGGGTGAGCCTGACCCAAGCCATGGTATTTTCAATTGCCTCATATGTATGTGAACACTGGACATGGCATAAGGAAGACCAAGGATGAATAAGTGCAATGGGATTCTGGTGCTGGAGAAGTGATGAAAGTACCATGGACTGCTAAAAGGAAAACAGAGGTGTCTTGGAAGAAGCATGGCCAGGGTGCTCCTTAGAGGCAAGGATGACAACTTCATCTCACACACTTTGGGCATGTTGTTAGGAGAGACGAGTCCCTGGAGAAGGACATTACGTTTGGTGAAGTGGAGCACAAAAAAGGAAGTCCCTCAAGGAGATGAACTGACACCGTGGTTGCAACAATGGGCTCAAGAATAGGAATAATGAGGAAGGCGCAGGGCTAGACAGTGTTCTGTTCTGTTGTTCACCAGTTCAATGGCAAACTAGCAACAACAACAGCATTCTCCAAATAAGTAAAAAGATGGTATTTTGGCCTTGGCTTTCTCAATTTATCTAGAAAAGAGGCCATCTCAATGTCCCAGTACCCTAAGGAAGATGCATTATTGTGAACTATTCTTCCAGCAGGAGCCCTGGTGGTGTAGTGGTTACGAATTGAGCTGTGATCATCATGGTTGGCAGTTGGAAACTGCCAGCAGCTCAGAGGGAGACAGACTGGGCTTTCTACTCCTGTAAACAGTGACCATCTCGGACACCCACAGTGGGCTGATAGGAGTCAGCACTGGATTGATAGCAGAGAGATTCTTCCTAAACAGCCAATTCAATTGTCTCTTTCTTCCGTTTAGGAACAAGTGGGGAAAATGGACTGAAAATAAAGCACTGGGCAAAGATGCGCCAATTGAACGTAGGCAAAACTAAAACAGCAGTAGCACTATATATATATACTACAATTAAAGTTGAAAAGAAACACTGAAGAAAATAAAGAGGGTCTTTTAAAATTATTTAAATCCACAACAAAGATAGAGTAGACTTGAGGTTGTCAAGAACATCAAGTGTGAGAGCCTCTCAACCTTGGAAAAAGATTTTCTAAAATATATTACCTAAAATAGAATAAACATTCCCAGTGATGTCTCAAGGAAGGAAGAAAGGTCCCCAGTGGCTAAAACCAGAATAATCAGTCCATTCAGGTATGTTACACATTAGCAAACTATTGAGAGAGCAAAGACTAAGAGACTTTACCATTAGGTTGAACCATAGGTGGCAGTGTAAAAACTACTGGATATCATCAATGTCCAATGGTGCAGTCTAATAATAAGAGACTTTTGTTAATGAACTATTAGTGAATAGAGTTTAAGAAAAAGAAAATTAAATCCAGATTAAAAGAGTGAGATGCTGAGACCCAGAACAAAATCATACCAAATGTGGATGGGGGATGGGGGGGGGGGCGTAGAGTGGAGACCCAAAGCCCATCTGTGGACAATTGGACATCCCCTCACAGAAGGGTCACAAGGAAGAGATGAACCAGTCAGGGTGTAGTAGCACCAATGAAACACACAGCTTTCCTCTAGTTCTTTAATGCTTCCTTCCCCCCACTATCATCACCTCAGTCCTACCTTACAAATCAGATTAGACCAGAACGTGCACACTGCTACAGATAAGAGCCCACAACACAGGCTATCCAGGATAGATAAACCTCTCAGGGCCAACAATGAGAATTGAGATACCAGGAAGACAAGGGGAAGATGTGGGGAGAAAGGGGGAAATGATCGCAAGGATCAACATATGACCCCCTCCCAGGGGGACGAACAACAGAAAAGTGGGTGAAGAGAGAAAGAGGACAATTTAAGATATGAAAATAATAATCTAGAGGACCTAATGTCGGGGGTTTAAATGGAGAGAAAATGTTTTGAGAAACGATGTACAAATGCGCTTTACACAATTGATGTGTGTATGGATTGGGATAACAGTTGTATGAGCCCCTAATAAAATGTTAAAAAAAAAATAATAATAATAAAAAAAAGAAAGAAAATAATAATCTATAATTTATCAAGGGTTCAAGAGGGATAGAGGGTGGGGGAGGGATGGAAAAAATGAGCTGATATCAAGGGTTCAAGTAGAAAGAAAATGCTTTGAAAATGATGATGGCAGCATATGTACAAATGTGCTTGACACAATGGATGAATGTATGGATTGTGATGGGAGCTGTAAGAGTCCCCCAAAAGTATTTAATAATTAAAAAAAAAGTGTTTAGAAAAAAAAAACAGAATGAGATGCAAGAAAGAGTGTCAGTCTAAGAAAATGGTAAACATAAGATAAACCTGAGTAAGACTGACTGATCAACAGTAATAATATATGCTTATAATAATATAAGGAGGCCTGGTATACAGAGCCCTGGTGGTATAGTGGTTATGCATTCATCTCCTAACTTCAGGGCCCACGGTTTGAAATCACCAGTGGCTCCAAGGAAGAAAGATGAGACTTTCTACTTCGATCAACAGTTACAGTCTTGGAAACCCACAGGGGCATTTCTGTCCTGTCCTATAGGGTCGCTATGAGTAGGCATCAATTCGACGGCAGCGAGTTTGGTTTTGCTCTTTATCAGATAATAGTGATTAATTGTGGGGATATAAAAATGAGGTTGAAACAAATACTGGAAATAAACATTTAAGATTAGATAGGGTAATGATGTTCCTTGTAGTGTTTCATGAGAAGGTGAGGACTTCCAAAGTCATGTATTCATGGTACACACTGAAAGATGACTACTGAAGAAATCAATATGGAATGCATAATTACTAAACCTAGTAGAGGAGGAAAAGAATGAGGATTTCAAAAGAAAAAATTAATATAATAGAAGTTAGAAAAGGAAGAAACAAAAGCAAAAAGGAAAAGCAGCATAAATAATTCAATCAAAATAAGATGGGAAAAATGCAAGTAACCACCATAATGTAGACCACGGTAAATAAACTTTTTAGTTAATAGTGATGGTCACATTAAAAAGAACAAAATTGGTATGTGCTGTTTTTAAGGGACATGCCTAGAATATAAAAGACACAAAAGTAGTAAAAGTAACGAATGGAAAAAGATTTGAATAAAGAAGCTAACAAATTACACTAATAAATAACACTGATTATATAGAGTATATTTAACATTGAAGATTTTAAAATTTTATTTCAAGCACACATGAAACATTGTGGTAGTCACATAATCTGTTGTCAGTTTGAGAGGATTAAGAGTGAAGGGGTGGGGCTTAGCCTGTCAATCAAGTGGCAGCTTGATGACCTCATCTGGAGGTGCAAGGGAGATAAACAGCTCCTTTGAGGTGGGACACACACTCACTCCCTGGGATACATTGCCGTTGACAAGCCACATGGAGACAGACTGATGGCAGCCAGCGCCTCACAGCTGGAGAAAACACATGGAGACCACTGCCAGCGCTGAGATGCTTACACTGCCACTGGATCCACAAGACTTCCTACCCACTGACCTGTGATCTTCCTGCATTCAGCATCATTGCATATGTTTCATAAGTCTGAAGAGGAATTTGTAGATTGGTATCAGACATGTGGGCTAATATTGGATTTGTGGACTTGATCTGGGCTGAGCTGGGATGTTTTCTCAATACTTAATTCCTCTTGTACATAAAGCTCCCTCTTATACACATGAGTGTCTATGAAATTGTTTCTTTAGTCTACCCAGACTAAAACAAGCATTTAAAATATACTCAGCTACCTCGGGCCGTCCCCTCTGCAACAACAACATTCTCCAAATAAGTAAGAAGAGGATATTTTGGCTTTGGCCTTCTCAACTTATCTAGAAAAGAGGTCATCTCAATGCAATGCAAATGACTCATCAGTAACAGATTTGGTTTCCCAATTTGGACCAAAGTCAGCTACTCGGAAGCTAGCACATGAACTTAAAGATGTCAAGTTTGATTGTCTAAACTATCTTATTTAATTAATAAGTCCCTAAATCATTCACTCTATCTCTGAAATAGACTCTTCTCTCCCCAACCCCCTTTGAGTAGGCTGCTAACCACAAGGTCAGCAGTTTGAAACCACCAGCCACCGTGAAGGAGAAAGATGAAGCTGTCTACTCCTACAAAGAGTCACAGACTCGGCTTGGAAACCCACAGGCATAGTTCTACCCTGTCCTGTAGGGTTGCTATGAGTCAGAATTGACTCAATGGCAGTGATTTTATTTTTTTTCAGAAAGCTTCTTGGCTTTAAGATTTTTCTCTGAATGGATTCAATAATTTATGAATGAATTTTTCATATTGTTTAGAAAAAAAACCCAAACACTAAATTTCTCTTCTTCTCTGGACAGAAAGATATTTATTTCTCAATTCCTAAACAATTTTCTGATTTAAAGTACTTAGTATTTCAGGCCCTTTATTGTTATTTGGAAAGATGTTTTAAAACTAATTTTCTTGGTCAAAAAGACCTAGTTTTTGCAACTTTTAAGGGTTACACATTTCTGTGAAACTAGTCAAAATAAGAGTTTTCAAATTCTGCCTATTGCAATAGGTATGAAAATGGGCACACATATTGTTAAGCATTTTCA